GGGGTCTTCAGGTTTTACAGCAGCTCTGAAGTGAGATTGTGTTCCAGGCTCAGGAATAGGTGAGTGTGGGTGCTGAGCAGGAATTGTGCGCTCCCTCATTCAGATGACAGCAGCGAGAATACAGAAGTATAATAGGATGAATGGAAGACAAATAGAAGGTGTTTTTATTGGATGAGAGAGATGTGGTCCCCTCATGGCTCAGGGTGGTCCTGTGCTCAGACTCTTCTTCTCCTCTTGCAGGGACACAGACCGGTGACTCTGATCGGCTTCAGTCTCGGCGCTCGAGTCATTTACTTTTGCCTGCAGGAACTGGCGCAGGAAGCAGGTAATCCCCCGCCATCCCTCAGATGCTGGTAGTCTGGATATAACGGCAGATAAGGCCGCTCGCTCCTCACCAAGGGACGGCACCGAGACCACTTCCTCCTGAAACACAAGCAAGATGAGTCAGCGGCAGAATGACTCCGTACAGGAAGTGATGCAAACTGTGCTAAAGTCACAAAGTGCGCTCTGCGTACCTTAAAGGGAACCTGTCCCTATTCAGGGCGAAGCAACTGGGTCACGTTTAGGCCTCATTCACACGGGAATCGGCCGGCATGTACAGCTCAGTGCTGCGTGCACGGCCGTATCGGGGCAGCTCCCTGTGCTCCCCCTGGGCATTGCCCACAGTTCAATCGCCTGCAGCGGAACGCACAGTACCGCAATGCATTCCATCGCAGTGCGACCAAATGACCGAGGACAAACGTGGGTCCTGAGGGTACGCAGGTTGAGAACCACTGATCTAAAAGAGAGCAAACAAGAGGCAGCTGTGTGCATCCGGTCGTTGCTTCTATAAGCCATACTTAGTAGACAGATAATACATAGATAGACCAATCAATCAATCCATCAGATGTCTGATCTATCTCAATGTCTGATTTCAGGCTCCGAGGGCATTATAGAGGATGTGGTGCTGCTGGGAGCCCCGGTGGAAGGAGACGTCAAGAGATGGAAACCGCTGACCCGCGTTGTAGCCGGACGGATTATTAACGGTTACTGCAGGTGTGTAAATCATTTCACCGACCCGGCAGATCAACGAGGGGGGTCTGTTTATAGACAATTTGCAGAGCCATTTACCCTACAAATCTGTGTGTATAGAGGCAGAAACGAACGTTCTTAATATGAGCCCTCAGGGGCAGGGCCCTCCTTACCATCTGGTCTTGAATTGTATTGTGATTGTAATGTCTCCCTTATATTGTACAGCGCTGCGCACACTGTTGGCGCTCTATCAGCGGCTGATGAGAAGAGAGAACAGAAGCGAGCAATTGCCGCGGCGGTAGTGTCCCATCTCTGGTCCCGCCGGCGGCGCTCCTCGTAGAGATTCCACTCGCCCCCCCCGCAATTTTCACTCGCCAATTGCGAGGGGGCGAGTTGAAATTTTGAGGCCTGCTGTATAGGAATAATAATAATTTTCACTGTAATACCAAATTATGGCCACTAGATGGCGCTAAGGAGCATGGGAAATAAGCATCTCCTGTGCTCCTCAGCTCCGTCTAGTGGCCATAATGCAGTATTACATGAAAAGAAAATACACCGAGAACGTTCGTCTTTGCCTCTAGTCACACAGGAGATGCACGGGGCGAGCGGCTCTGCAAATTGTTTATAATAATGAGAGGTGGGCCCGGCTTCACCCATATTTTCACCCGTCCCAAAGACACGTCCAGGTATTGGAGTGCTACACGCTCAGCACCCTCTTCCATTTTCTGCCAGGACCTGGCTGGGATCTGTAGTTCCACGGGGCAGCAATGCTTGACGAGGAGGTGTCTGAAATAAGAACTGTCTGTGTTGCCCATGGCAGTCAGGGTAACGGGAGCAGCACAGGCGGTTTTCGTTCAGGGTTAAGGACGTGAAATGGACAGGTTGCCTGCGTCCCGGTGCATTGTGGGTAATGTGAGAAGTAGACTGTGTGCGGATAGAAGACTGGGGGAATAAATATGTTCTGCGTGTGTCTCACCGCGTCGTGTCTTCCTGTGTGCGGCGGAGATGGAGGATGAATAATGCAGTAAACAATGACACTGATTACAGATGGCCGGGAATAGAATTGGGAGCCGCAGATAGCGGGGGAGGGGTACCAGCTTTATGTCACATGCCAACATTCCCAGCTCCAAGATTCTGTACTGGTACCAGTCTGTGTGATGGGGAATATCACCCGTTCCTGTACTGGTACCAGTCTGTGTGATGGGGGAATATCGCCCCTTCCTGTACTGGTACCAGTCTGTGTGATGGGGGAATATCGCCCCTTCCTGTACTGGTACCAGTCTGTGTAATGGGGGAATATCGCCCCTTCCTGTACTGGTACCAGTCTGTGTGAAGGGGGAATATTGCCCGTTCCTGTACTGGTACCAGTCTGTGTGATGGGGAATATCACCCCTTCCTGTACTGGTACCTGTCTGGGTGATGGGGGGAATATCACCCGTTCCTGTACTGGTACCAGTCTGTGTGATGGGGGAATATCGCCCCTTCCTGTACTGGTACCAGTCTGTGTGATGGGGGAATATCGCCCCTTCCTGTACTGGTACCAGTCTGTGTAATGGGGGAATATCGCCCCTTCCTGTACTGGTACCAGTCTGTGTGATGGGGGAATATCGCCCCTTCCTGTACTGGTACCAGTCTGTGTGAAGGGGGAATATTGCCCGTTCCTGTACTGGTACCAGTCTGTGTGATGGGGAATATCACCCCTTCCTGTACTGGTACCTGTCTGGGTGATGGGGGGAATATCACCCCTTCCTGTACTGGTACCAGTCTGTGTGATGGGGGAATATCACCCCTTCCTGTACTGGTACCAGTCTGCGTGATGGGGGAATATCGCTCTATTTCCCGGGCAGATGGCAATGCCGGCGATTTCCCTCTGTGTTTTGCTCTGACATTTCCCCCCGGGGGTTGTCACCACACTGACGAGTCTCATCCTGTCCTACAGAGGGGATTGGCTGCTGAGTTTCGTGTACAGAAGCTCCTCGGCGAAGCTGAATGTGGCCGGTCTACAGCCGGTGGGCCTGGATGATCGGAGAATGGTCAATGTGGACCTGTCATCGGTGGTAAGTGACCCTCATGGGTCTCCCTTTATCCCCAGAGGAAGTTTGGTAGAGTAAAGAGCTCCGGCTGTATGGTTTAGAGAGTCATGAGAGTAAAAAGGATCGTCAGTGCTGAACAAAGATGGCGCCTTCTGGAGAGAACCACATCATTTTGCATGCTGGCGCTGGGTCATTGGAGATGCTGGAGGCAAAAGAGTTCAGGGGTCACTGGAGACTGGAGATACCGGGGTCACTGCAGGCACAGGAAAGCTGGGGTCACTAGAAACAGGAACACTGGAGACACAGGAACACTGGGGTCACTGGAGAACCTCTGGTCACTGAAGACACAAGAACACTCGGGTCACTGGGGACACAGGAACACTGGGGTCACTTGAGACACAGGAACACTGGAGACACAGGAACACTGGGGTCACTGGAGACACAGGAACACTGGAGACACAGGAACACTGGGGTCACTGGAGAACCTCTGGTCACTGAAGACACAAGAACACTCGGGTCACTGGGGACACAGGAACACTGGGGTCACTTGAGACACAGGAACACTGGAGACACAGGAACACTGGGGTCACTGGAGACACAGGAACACTGGAGACACAGGAACACTGGGGTCACTGG